AAGTCCCAGGCAGGAGCAGCTGTTTTCCATCACTTCTGGGACAAGCTCTATTTTTACCCAATGACCTTTAGAGAGATCTCCCAAGCCAGCTCAAGATGCCTTACTAGTTCCTCTGGAGAAAAGGAGCAGGAAGATTCTTTCTGGGTCTTGTCACGCTACTTTCTCCATCCCAGGTCAGACTGTCCATGTCATCTCTTCTGCAGCCAGGACAATAATTTTCTTCAGTCTTGGGCCTCCAACCTGCCTGTCTTCTGGGTCTGTTCATGGCAGGTTCTGGTCTCAAAGCTGGGCTGAAGAGAGAAGAAGAAATAGAGTTACCCTCTGGCCTTACCTATTGCCCTCAGTTTGGAGCTGCCCATTTGGAAAGAGAGAGGCAAAAAGTACCTTGTTATAGAAAGTATGCAAGCTGCGGCCAGGATGCACAAAGGAGAGTCTAACAAGAGATAGATTGTCTCAGATCACCTCCAAGGGCTCTCCGAGTCCTCAGATGCGTTACATGGTATTAGGAAGTGGGAAGGGTGGTTGTGACAGATGGGCTGAGCTTGAATTCAGGGGCAGATGAGCTTAGGTAGTAAGTGAAGGATTAGGCCAGAGTCAGCCTAGGTTCTGGCCACTTAGGAAGTGCCTCCCTCTTCAGTTTTAGGCCACAGCCCCAGTGTCCATATCATAACCAGAAGAGTGGGCACTGTCCCACCCAACTCTTTATCATTGCAGTCTGGCTTAGCTCATGCCTGGTCCCAGTGACCTTGAGGAGCCTAGCTACAGGCCCTAGCCATCCTTCTTAGTTCTGATTCTAGTCCCTAGGAGGGAACTGGAGAGGAATGTGGCTGTTCTGTAGTTTCCAGAGCTGAATGGTGGGGTCCTCTAGAAGTTCAGATGATCAGATTCAGAATACTTTGCCAGGATGCAGCAGGGTGGTAGCTGAAACTGGTTGAGGATCAAGTATATGTAGGAGAAAGAATATTAGGATGTTGCTAAAGGTGAGGAACAGTATGATTTGGGATTAAGGGTAGACTTACCCACCCAGCAGAGTAACATTAGTCATAGAATTTTCCATGTAAGGCTAGGGAAAGCAAGGGTCATGATGGAAGAGAATCAGGATTGGGATGGGGCACACTTTGGAATAAAGGAGTAATCCCAGAGGGTTCTTAAGGCCTGGGGACACAGGCCCTGTTGGTAGAAAGATGAGATGGGACTCCTCCTCATTTATTAAGTGACTACATTTACCAAAGCCCCATACCTGCAGGGACCCTTGTAGCATAGGAAACCAGGGCTATGAGTACCTCCTCCTAGAGAAGAGAAACTGAGGCCTCTGGCTGATGCAGTGGCAAAGAGGAGCCATTTCTAACTGCATTTCTCCACAGAGCCAGCAGGAGGCAGCCTTGGGAAGCTGCAGTTCTTTCTCTGACTGTTCTCTCCTTACGATTGCCTTCTCCCTGACCCTCTCCTCTAACCGTTTAAGAGATTGCTTGTGTACTGCCTCTAACCTCCAGTAGAATTCAGCTAAATAAATGCTTCCTGCATTCTTCTGCCTCCTGTGTCATTTTTGGCTTAGCTAAAGCCCTTCCCTTCTCCCCAGATGTGGCATAGTCCATGGGACACTGGGGGGGGGGGGATATCTGAGACACATGGACTGAGAACTTGGGGGTATGCAACCCTGAGGAGAGACGGTGAACAATGGAAAAACTTAGAACCATAGAAGTTGTGTTGTCCCTGGGTTGAAATCCTGGTTCCATCATTGACTAGTTAGGTGGCTCTGAGTGAGCCCACTCCAGCAGGTCTCAACTCCCCCTCTTTTTAAATTTAAAAAAAAAAAAAATTGGTAGATTGCCTTTATTTATTTGTTTATTTTTATGTGGTGCTGAGGATCAATCCAGTGCCTCACACATGCGCAACAAGCACTCTGCCACTGAGCTACAGCCCCAGCCCTCAACTTCCCCATCTTTGTAATGAGAGAGTTAGATCAGATAATGTCTCAGGGTGATATTGCCCATGCCCTGACTCGATGTCACTGACACTGGAGTAGGCAGGGCCTACCTGGGTCAGGGTATTTTGGGGCTGCTTCCTTGTGGCAGGTCAGGGATCCAGGGCAGGAACAGGAGCCATTATGAGGAGTCACATCTGAGTCTGGACACTAGTGAGGCCAGGACCCAGACTTTCAGGAGTAGTCTTCTCCTATGTCTTTTGCCTAAAGAAGAAGATTGTGGCCCACTCGCAGGTGAGGGCAAGCCTTCCAGGTGGACATCACTTGCCTTTCCTCTCTAGACGCTCAGGCCCAGCAGACACTGAGCAGAGATGCCCAAGGGACAGGACCACAGCAGACTCCAGTCTTCCGTCCCTACCAGGTGTCAGAATTGTGCCCTGGAACAACTTCACCAAAACATAGGCATGGGTGTTCCTGTCCCTCCTGTGCCCACACTTTCCCAGGAGTGGTTTATATGCCTCTGACCCAGACACAACTTCAGATGGAACCTCTGAAGTTTACTTACTGCTTACAGTTGATTTCACCTTAGTACCCAACATCTCAAACTGAGTTCCTCCCAACAGAGCTGTCTCTGCCCCTGTCCCACCCTGCTTCTCCCCGTTTCTTACCTTAGTTCCAGAGTCAGACACAGGAGTCTGGGGCAGCTCCCATTCTCCCCTTTCACTTTCAATCCCTCAACGAGACCTGTGGATTCTCCAAGTACCCTTGATGCCCCTTCTCTTCTCCATCCCCTCTGTCCCTGCCCAGGCTAGCCACCCCTGTCTCACCTTGCTCCCCTTGGTAGCCAGATATCTGTGGCAAATGCCAATCTGACCACTCCACTTCACCAGTGAGTTTCCTCAGCGGCCTTCATAACAGCTTCCTTCTGAGAAGCCTGCTGTGATCTCACACCTGCCCACCAGTTGGGCCTCATCTCACACCATGGCCCCACGGCCCTGGCTCTGGTTCTACTCGCCAACCTCTTACCATCTTTACCAGTGCTGTGTCCTTCACCTGCACTGCCTTTACCCACCTCTGTCCCAGGAACTCTCACTCATCCTTCAAGGCCCAAGTCAAATGTCTCCCTTTGTGGAAAGCCTCCCCGCCCTCCAGGTTGAGTTGGTGACAGGCTCCCCTGCTCCCCTGGGCTCTCCCAAAGACTTTCCCATGATGCATCACAAGGCTTGTGGCCTGAGAGAGCTCTTTGAGGACAGGGCCCTTGCTTATTATTTTCAGTTCACAGAGAGAGGCTTAGAGAATATGAGAAGGTGGAGGGAGAGAGCGAAGAGAGGAGGAAGGAAGGAGACAAAGGATAAGTCAAGCAAAAATATCAAGAAGAGTTCATTCATCCATCCACACATTCATTTATCCAACAGATATCTATTGAGCTCCGATCCAACACTGTTGTAGGCCTAAGAACATGACAGTTAACAAGTTGAAGTGAACAGCAGCTGATTCTCAGTATTTCCAGGTGACCTGGACATGTGCTCTTGTGCATGTGTACCCGTGGGTGCAAGCCCTTCTGTCTGCAAGGGCCTGCTGCCGGAGCACCTGTCTTCCCTAGGGCCTGGTGCTTTCTTTTAGCATCTGGCCCCGGCTCCTGTTGCAGCCCGAAATAAGGCTGTGACCCACGACAAGGCAAGAATGATTCTCGTCAGCTGAAGCCAGAGCTGGCTACAGGGCACACCCTGATCACTGACCGCTGACCGCCGACTGTGACAGACACTGACCACGCAACTCTCAGCTTCCCGACGGAGGTGTTAATCTTGAGGGTCGGATACTCCTTCCTGACCACTGTGGTTTCACCCTCTCAGGTACCAGGATCCTAAGGGAGCTGGGGGAGCTGTGGGGAGTGGGTGGAGGAGGCTAGGCAATTCCCAGAGGACCTCTTCCCCCAGCAGGGACAGGGCCCTGCAGAGGATCTGGGGAGTTTGGGGCCTCATGAAAGCCTGGATCCTGGTTGGGAGGAGGGGAACAAGTTCTAGGTTCTCTCCATTAAATGGGGAGGGGGCGACTAGGATTAAAGGTTGGGGATAGATGATGGATCTGCCCAGGACTTCAGGGTCATTAGGCAGCGGAGGGAAGTCGCTTCCTGTCTGTAAATAGGACCCCTTCCCAGCACCTGTCAATTCTGGTAAGGGGAGTGTTTATCCAGAAATAGATCTGGGGACTGTGGCATTCTAAAGATCAGAGTGGGGGCACTCTCTATCATCTCTTGATCACCCCAAATGTGTGTGGTCACACTCATGTTTACTTACAGTTTTAACTGTTCATGATACCCCGAAGCTCAGCATGGATCCCTATGATTAGCCCAACCCTCTTAAATCACATAGGGGGCAACCGAGGCACAGAGCTGGAGAGCTACTTGTTCACAGTTGCAGGTTGCTTAGCTCAGTGTCCACTGACTAACCCAGGGTCCTTGCAGGTATGTGTGTGGGGGACACAGATAGGGGCAAATTTTTTTCCTGAGGGAAGGAATATGGTAAGACCTGGAAACAAAGGAGAGGAGGACTGGGGTGGGTGGTCAGCCAGGGAGCCCAAGGGTGCTGCCTCCTTCTCTGGGAAAAAGTTCGGTAATCTGAGTTTGGGGCCTGCAAGGGTTCTCTGAGGCTCTGGGGCTTATTTTAATCACAAATGGTCTCTAAGATTCCTGGAAAGTACCATGAGATGAAAAAGGGGAGATAGAGGAAGAAGAAGAGGAGGGTCGAGGGAGAAGAGAACACTGTGGAAGTCAGTGCAGGGTGGGCAATGGGGGAGGACCCATGATGACTCTCAGTGCCTCCCTAGCAACATGGACCCCATTTGTCTGACCTCAAGCACCTCCCCTGTCCTCCCTGAGCCTCAATCTCCTCCCTTCTACAAAAAGACCTGAAAGGCCTTTTCAGCTCAGACACCTTTGCTATTGATTTTGGGGTGGGTCAAGACTGTTCAGGGCTGGGGCTGAGTGGACCGGGGAGTTGGAGGAAGCCTTGGGAGGGAGAGGTTCAGGGAGGAAGGGGACAGCCTGGCCTATTTGTGGGAGTGTCTCCTCCACAGGATGATCCCCAAGGAGCAGAAGGAGCCAGTGATGGCTGTCATGGGGGACCTTGCTGGACCAGGTAAGATGGGCCCAGTCCTATGCTTTCCTCAAACTCCTCTCTTGGTCCCAGATTGTGGTCACTCAGGCCTGCTGGCCCCAGGCTAGCAAGCAGGTGTGAGTTCCAGAGCCCTGAGGGAGTGCCTGTGGAATCTGCCACCTGGGCGCAGGCATTTCCTGAGGCTTTGAAGGGGCCCTGCCCTTATGTCCACAGGCCAGGCCCCATAGTGGGTTCTGACCCCAAGATGACCCTGGCCTTGGTCCCAGCTAAGGCCTTCCTTGAGGGCTCTGGTCCCAGATCAACTGTAGCCACAAGTTCTGGCCTACTTGTTCCTGCTAAAGGTACCTACAGGCCTCTCATGGGCCTCAGGATGACCCAGGCGGCCCAGCCCAGGGCTCAACGCTAGTGGTGGGGGAATAGCATGGCAGGAGAGCCACAGCAGGCCACTCCCTCAAACTCAAACCATTTTACTTCAAAGCTGGCTCATCCAAAGAATAAATCATCTAAAACCATGCTTATCAACCTTGTAAGACCTCTTCATGAACTTCTGGAATAATTTTGAAGTCTGCTTGTTTGGTCTACATTAGAGCATTTCAAATATTTAAAAAATGAATTCAACTCAGGGGGGACCCTCAAGCTTTAGTGTGAGTCATAGTTGTTTCATGTTTTTCATTAAAAATAAAGATTCACAACATCTACCCCCAAGGTCTCTGATTTCATAGACCTTGTGGGGGGGGGCATACATTTGCCTTTTGGACAAGTGTTCAGGTGACTTCAAAGCTGGTGACAGTGAGCTCGCTCTGAGAAATGCTTGTCCAAGGTCCCCTGTGCAATTGGCCTCTGTCAGTCCTAAGAAGCAGTCAATCAAGTTGTGTGGCTTTATATGCAAACTTTTAACCTAGCTAGTTTGTGTGTTCTTGCCTCTTATTGTTGGTGTTGTGTTTCTTTTAGCCCCCCTGCCCCCTGATTTTGTGTGTTGAAATATGCAAACATTGTGAGATACTCATACTTCAGTTGGAAGAGTCGGGCAGTACCTTCTCATTTCTGTAGTCTGAGTAATTAATTAGAGTCCTCTAAACATCGACACACATCATTTATGCCACACTTGAAATATATAACTAGTTGAGAATTGCTAAGCCACTAATTAAAGAGGATTTTGAAATGAAAGAAAAATAGGAAAGAAAAAGAAATCTCACTCTCTCACCACTTAAAAAGTCATTTTAAAATAGTAATAATAAAAACACCATCCTTATTGGATGGTTACTGGGTCAGTGTGCTAGGAGATTTGAATCTTGTTATTTGAGCCCCAAAACAATTCTACAAGTTAGATATTATTATTCCCATTCTGCAGATGAAAAAAATTTTGACTCAAGGAGTGAGGTTTCTGCACACCTCTGGGTAACAGAGCTGAAATTTGACTTGCACTTTCTGTCTCCAGAATTGCTTCTTCTATGTGGTTATGCAAAGAATACATCTTTTTCTTTTTCTTTTTTTTTTTTTTTTCACACCAGGGACTGAACCCAGGGGTGCTTAGCCACTGAGCCACATCCCCAGCCCTTTTTATTTTTTATTTTTTTATTTTGAGACAGGCGCTCACTGAGTTGCTTAGGGCCTTTCTAAGTTGCTGAGGCTGGCTTTGAACTTGCAATCCTTCTGCCTCAGCCTCCCGAGTTGCTGAGATTACAAGCATGCGCCACCATATCTGGCAGAATACATCCATTTTTAAAACTATTCAGACAAAACACCATGAATGACTTTGACAGTGAAAGTTCTTCATAATGGAACTATCTGTAGATGATCACTGTTATCATTTTTGTGTAAGTTCTTATGTCTACATATGATTTGTTTATATAGATGCACATACACATAGGCTAAATACTGTGTGCTGTGTTCTTCGGCTACTTCCTTTTTTCACTTAGCAACATACCACGGACTCCTTTGCACACTACCATGATTTATCTTACTGCCTCCCTCCCCTCAGTTTCCCTGTGCGTGGACATGTCATTTATATTTAATCAACCTTTAATGGTGGTCGTGAGGGTGGAATCCTTAGGAGTAGAGCCCAGGAGTCTTGTGCAGGTAAACTGCAGCACCTGGGTGGCCCTCATTGCTGCTGGCAGCTACATCCCTCTCCCCAGCCTGGACACCCCTCCAGATGACTTACTCTCTCAGGTGACTTTGGCAACCCAAAGCCTCCAGTACCTCTTCCCCCACTTTCACTCTCAACTAGTGACCTTGCTACTATAGTTTTCGCTGAGAAAACTATAGTAGCTCAAAGAAAACATGGGCAAGCCCCCTTTGCCACATCTGTGCACTGGCTTGCATCTGTTCTCAATCCTTCTTTGCCTGAGAGGGTGATGAACGCTCTTCACACCTGTCTGGTGCCAGCCCTTCTAGCTGGACAGGACACCCTGCTCTGCCCCTTCTCAGGCTCAAGGACATTCCTCCAGCAGTTCTCCCTTGTGCATTATCAGATGGTCCCCACTGCTAACACTCAGGCCATTATCTCCCCGTTACAAACAAGCCCCCTGGATCCCATGCTGCCTGCTGCCACAGGCCTTGAAAGCACAGCTTCTGCAAGCCGTTATCGATGCTTTCTTTCCCATTATGTCTTTTTAACACATCATATGCCAGTTTCCAAACACACACGTAAGTAGAGGGTGCCACCCTTTATTCCTGGATCCCCAAGCAAATACCAAAGAGCACTTCATGACATCCCCTAAATTCTTCAGCATCCATGAAAATAAGAAAAAAGACATTTCCTTACATGCCACTAAAAAAATATTAGCACATTCAGCAAAATTAGCAGTAATGATTTAACAACATCTACTAGCCAATCTCATATTCAGCTTTCTCAGTTTTCTAGTTTATTTTAATCAGGATCTAAACAAGGGTCATAGTTTTTATTTGGTTGCCATGCCTCTTAAATCTCTTTTAATCTAAAACAACCCGCCCCCTTTTCCCCATGTCATTGACTTGTTTGAAGAAAACAGGCCAGTTGCCCTGTATGTAGAATGTTCCAAGTCCTGGCTGTGCCCACCGCTCCCCTGTGGGATGTGTAAGCTTGTTCTCTGTCCATTTTCTCTTGAATCCTCTCCAATCAGACTTTCACACCCAAATGCTCCATAGAAACAGTGTTAGTGAAGATTACCAGGGACTCTATGTTACTAAATACAAGAGTCAATTTTCAGCAACACTTGACCTCTTGGTCACTTTGTTATCCCAGAAATCTTCCAGCATTTAGTTTCCAGGACACCATCCTCTTTAGATTTTTTTTTTTTCTCCCTTACCAGCTAACTGTTCCTTTCCAGGCTCCAGGGCTGGTTCCTCTCATCTAAATGTTGGAAACCTCAGGGCTCAGTCTTGGCTCTCTTTATCTTTTCTCATTTCTTCCTGATCTTTTTCAGCTTCCCGGTTTAAAATATCATTTTATAGAGCTGGCACATGAGCCTGTGTAATTCCGATTTTATTTTAATAAGTTAGCTAATTCATTAATTTTCTTCTGGCTGGGATTTGAACCCAGGGCCTTGTACATGCTAGGTAAATGTTCTACCACTGAGCTACACCTCCTGCCCTGTATCTGACTTCACTTGGACAACATTGGCCATGCTGGTGACATACCTTCTGCTCTCCTGTCACTCTGTCCACCAAAAAGCTTTTCTCCTTAGTCAAATGTAAAAGTTTGCATTTTGTTGGCAGGGAAAGCACAGATTTGGGGGATGGATCCCACACTACTAAGGACAGTCATCAGCCAGATGACAAATCCTAACCATGAGAAGGGAAAGAAATGTAATGTTCTGCATTGAAAAACAACGGCAACAAAATACCATTTGTAAGCTCACGAGTCTCTAATTTTTTAAAATCTGCAGGTCAGTTTTCTTTCATGAACATCAGAGTCACATGCCCTACTCAGTATTTCCACTTGAATGTCTGCAAGGCTCCTCAAACTGAATTTTGAACACAATTGGGAGTTTAAATATAGACTAGATATATTAGAAAAAAAAAAACCAAAATATGTTCATTTGGAAAAGTGATGTCTCTTTAATTGATAAAAACAAGTTACAAAGCATGTTTTCTATGATTTCACTAAAAACTCACATATGAATATGTAGTTATTAAAAGACTTGAAGCTGGGTGTGGTGATGTACACCTACAATCCAGCAGCTTGGGAGACTGAGGCAGATGGATCACAAGTTCAAGTCCAGCCTCAGCAAAAGCAAGGCCCCAAGCAACTCAGTAAGACCCTGTCTCTAAAAAAAAAAAAAAAAAAGAAAAGAAAAAAAACAAAAACAAGGACATGAAATGTCATACACTGCAGTGTTAATACTGGCAATCTTTGAGTGACAGATAATGATATTTATTTTTCTTGTTTTTTACTTATACCTAAATTTTCTAACTTTAAAATGCACATTTATGTTTTTATAATAATAAGAGACTATTTAAAACTTAAAAAGAGAGCTGGACATGGTAGCACATGCCCTAGGAGGCTGAGGCAGGAAGATCACAAGTTCAAGGTCAGCCTGGGCAACATATGAAGCCCCATCTCTTAAAAAATAAAAATTAAGGGTCTGGGGATACAGCTCAGTTGGTAGAGTGCTTGCCTTGCATGTACAAGGCCCTGGGTTCAATCCCCAGCACCAGAAATAATAATAATAAAAAAATTTAAAAGACAGATGTCTAAAATCAGACTTCTGGTGTTTCTCTTCCCTCATCCTTTTCCATCTCGCTGAGCCCCTTCTGCCCACTCAGGTCAGAAATCTTGCAGTTAACTCTCCTCTCACACCCTGCACCTTTTATTTAAAAAGTTTAGAATCTGACCATTTCTCACACCTTCACCACGGTGGGCAAGAACCTGCCTGAGAGATTTATGACATAGGTACAAATGGCCAAAGAACAGAGTATCATGCTCAAATAATTCAGCTCTGAGCAGGGCAAACCATCAGGTAGGCAAGGAGTCCAGAACGCGGTGACTCCCAGCGTCATCGAGTGTGAGTGGAGCAGCCATTCTGGTACATAGCATATGATGCTGTGACAGGTGCCTTAAGGCAGTGGCCAGGAGTGCCTTGGGGGTTGGGTAGTAAGAGCTCGCTCTGGCCTCTCTCGGCAGTCCCTTTGCTGGACCTGGGGAAGAAGCTGAGCGTGCCCCAGGACCTGATGATAGAGGAGCTGTCGCTTCGCAACAACCCAGGATCCCTCCTCTTCCAGAAGAGGCAGCGCCGGGTGCAAAGGTTCACCTTCGAGCTTGAGGAGAGTCAGCGGGCGGTGAGTAGGTCTCCATTGTGCTCATGGAGAAACTGAGGCCAGACAGAGAGTCTGGCCAAGGACCTCTGGGTCCTTGCAGCTGGGGAGACTGGGGTGCCCCCATCCGACTGAGCCCCTGCTTTGCTGTGTGATCCTTGAAAAGGGTTCTCCCTGCAGGCATCTCTCCCAGAGACAAATCACAAAGTGAATCGGGAGGATGAGCTGTGAGTCCTGGGTGTACAGAAACTGATAAAGAACAGCCAGCCGTGTGCTCTGGGCTAAATTTGCAGTGGGCAGGAGTTAGTTCAGACTTCGGCTTGATCTAAGATGGAAAATGCATGATGCTTTTTAAAATTTTGTCTTTCTACTTGAAGAAGAAAAAGGTCATGGAACAATCTGCTGGCAGAAAAGGAGGGTGGGAATGGTTTATTCCTAGGCTTGGAAAAGGCTGCAGGCAGTTTCAGGTACTTCTAGTGAAAACAGAAGTATTTTATCCATATTCCACTCCATTTCTGAGCCACTCAAGAGGCAACCGAGAGGGAACGATGTGACGGGAACAATAAGAATGTCAAAACACCTACCTCTGCCGTGCACCAGACAGTGCTAGCCAAGCGCTTTCCAGTTTATCCTTGCATGGAGTGCTCGGAGGTAGATACCATTATCATGGTGATGCCCACTTGAAAGAGAAGAGAACTGGGGCTCAGGGAAGTATCTTGTTGAGACTCCATGACAAGTGCAGGGAACAGCGAGCGTTCTTCTGTTCCAGGCACTGAGCCTAGTGTTGTAACCATCCATCCTTCTAACATGCCCTGGAGATGAATGCGAGGGTTCTTGCCCTTTCCCTCTCTCTCTCTCTTGGGTGGAGGAGAACCCTGGCACCGTGCCCCCTGAGGGTTTATCCCCCTACCCCCACAGATCCTGGCCGGAAGCGCCAAGAGGAGAGTAACTGGAACTGCGGAGGCGGGAATGGTGAGCGCGGAGGCGGGAATGGTGAGCGCGGAGGGAGACCCTCGGGAGGGGCAGCAGCGGGAAGGGGCGGGGCAGCTGTCTGTGGCTGTCTGAGCTTCTGAGCGCCCTGCCCTGTGCCCAGGTTGCCAATGGCCCCGAGGGGCCGAACTACCGCTCCGAGCTCCACGTCTTCCCGGCTTCGCCCGGGGGTCCCGAGGACTCCCACCCAGCAGCGGCGTCGGCCCATAGCCCAAGCGCTCTGGCGCCAGGTGAGTGGCCGCTTTGAGTCCTGGCCACCATGGCTGAAACGCAGGGAGCGACCGCGCCCCCAACACCCCAGATCAGAACACAAGCCCAGAGAGTGGCAGCAGTGCGCCCAAGGTCACACAGCGAGTCAGAATCCGATCCCAAACTAGAAGAACCCTAGGTTCACTTGCTCAGGTCCTCTTCATTTCCTGGGATGAGGGAGGGTCCCCTTTGCTGGAGCAACTGCGACATTCCTTTTTCCACTCCTCCTAACTCCAGCCTTGCGCCCCCAACCTTGTCAGCTGGGTGGGGATGGGAGTGGGGCGGCGGAGACACAGCCCACGCGCCCGCTTCTTCACTTCCCGCGGGGCACCCACAGCTGCTTCTCCCGCAGGCTACGCGGAGCCCCTGAAAGGCGTGCCGCCTGAGAAGTTCAACCACACCGCCATCCCCAAGGGCTACCGCTGCCCGTGGCAGGAGTTCATCAGCTACCGGGACTACCTGAGCGATGGCCCAAGTTACACCCCCAGCCTGAGAGACTATCGGAATTTCAACAAGTAAGGCCAGGCCGGGCGGCGCGGGCAGTTTGGGGAGAGCCCAGGACGTACAGGGTACCATAGCAGTAGCCCGAATTTCCTAGCCTTTCCACATCCTAGTTCTAGTGCCAGCACTTCATATGTACTTATTGAGGTCTTGCTAGAACAGTGCCTCAGCACCTAGTAGGTGCTTCATAAACGTAGGACGAATGAATGGTGAACGTGCCCCAGTCTTGTTGTATTCCCACAAGATGAGGTGGCTGTGCCTTGATTTCCTCTGTTCGGCCAATGAAGAGACCGAGGTTCAGGAACGACCTGCCCAAAGTCTCAGAACAAGGAGGAAGCAGCAGGACTGGGATTCAAGCCTGGGTTTGTGTGACTCCAGAGCTGGTGTCTTGTTCTCCTCACTGCTGTGGGCCACTCTATGATGGACATCCAGTTCTGCCCTGGAGAGCCCCAGATCTCCCCATCCCAAGGCCAACCCAGCCTCTCTTTACTTGCATCAATGATGCATGTGGAAGAGACCTCCAAGGTGGCCGTGAGGCTGCCCAAAGCTGGGAGTGGGGCCAGAGGTCAGGGCCACAAAGGAGTGTCATATATTGGGTTTAGGGCATAAGTTCTCCATGTGGGTTTAAATGCAAACTCCAGGTCTGGCTGTGTGACCTTGGGTAAGCAATTTAACCTCTCTGAGTCTCCATTACCCCACCTGTACCTACTTCACAGCATTGCCATGAGGATGACATGAGAAGCCACAGGCAAAGTTCTGGCAAGTAATAAGTTCTCAATAAACGTTAGCTACAGGTACTACTACTACTGTTACTGCAGGCTGAAATGATGGTTGGAAGAGCTAAAAAGGGAGAACTTCAATAGTATTTTGCCCTGGGGATCCAAAAACAGACCATAGGACTCAAGACTGGAGTTTGACTTGGAGGCGGGCCTTGGACTGGGGGTGCATTTCAGTTGCAGTTGGCTTCCTCAGTCCGCATCTATTTTTGAACATACTCCTTTGGCTTAGGCTATATTAAGTGAGGAAAAGAAGTGTCCACAGAGAGGAGGCCACAGTCCAGCTCTTCTGGCACCTCCTCAGACCACACGTGGAGACTGTGTCTGTCTGATAGAGACAGATGGGTGCACTCCAGGGCCTGGCTAGGACGTTTTGAGGCACTTTTAGGGAGGACTGAAGGATGGGTATGGGGGGTGATCAGCCTTGAGAAGAGATGGCTCAGGAGAAAGGTGACTACCAGGGAGGCCCTGATGGGAAGAATCAGGCCCAACAGGCGCTGTGTGAGCCACGAGCCATTGGCAGACATTCTGACTTCCCTGCCAGCCAGGGCGGCCCTGTCCTCCTCCTGGGCCCTCAGATCCTGCCTGCCCTGCTATTTAAAACCCGACGCAGACGTTCAGTGCTGGCAGCCAGCTTCCAGGCTGGCTGGCTCTGGGCACATCTCCTACCCATCTCAGGCCTCTGATTGACAGGCGGAGGCACATTCCCACCAGCAGGGGGAAGGCCTTAGGGAGTCCTGGGCCCAGACCTCATCTGAGACAGAAGGAGGAACTGAGGCATAGAGAGGAGGGACAGCGGTATTGGGGGCCCAGTGGGGCTCAGAATGCTGGGCTCTGGGCTTCCAGTCAAGGCCCCGGCTGTGAGGCCTGCTTGGCTTGGACACTGCCCAGCCTGTTCCCGCTGGGCCTGGCTGTGCTGCCAAAGCTGGGGTGGTCCAGGCAGCAGTGCTTTCCTGCCAGGATCCCAGGCTCTGGCCCATGGTGTGTCTTTCCACCCCTCTCCCCACTGGCCCCTGCTGCAGGCAAACACCACACCAGCAGTGCTTTATGTTTTCCTTAAAATTAAAACATTGTTTTAAAAATCACACACATATATTCTCTTAGAGAAAAAAAATAGGCAACTTCAAATGATAGCAGGGCCCTTTGTTTACTGTCCCCCAGGTCCCTTTCCCAGGTCCCTTTCTAAAGGTAGCCCTGTTGTCCGGTTGGCCTGTGTGTTTTTGGAACACATTGTTAAGGCTGTTGCATACTATAGAGCTTGTGGCCTTGGTTTGTGAGTATCATATGTTTTGATACTTTATGTTTTATTCTGTAACTGGCTTTTTTCATCCAACATTATGCTTTTGAAATCTATCACACTGATACCTGTAGATCTGGTTCTTTCCTTTTAAGCTGCAAGAATTCTGTCCTATGACACACAATTTCTGTCTTGTCCGCTCCTCTGCCAGGGGACATTTGAGTTGCTTCTGGTTGTCACTAAGGCACCATTCATGTCTGCTTCCTTGTGCTTACCTGCATGAGCCTCTCTGAGCTCCACACTGAGAGATGGAGTTGCTGAGTGACAGAGTTGACATAAATTCAAGGTTCAGAAGATCCCACTGAATTGTTCTCCAAGGTAGCAGCACCAATTTGCGCTCTAACCACTCAACTACGAGTGAAACTGCCCCTACCCCCTCATCAATGTTGCCTCATTATCAAGTTATTTCCTTTTGCCAGTGTTTTGGGGGAGAAATGGTAAATCTCTGAGGTGATTTGCATTTCCCTGATTCTTGCTGCTCTTTTGGAGCCTTCCTTCTCTCTCCAGTTTGTGGGTATTTTGTTCTAAGTTGAGGTAACAAGAGGAAGGAAAATCTCTTTCTCCTTCCCCACTAGGGTCAGACTTGGGAGAGGGAGGAACTGGAGAAATCTGTTAACGATAGTGAAAAATCTTTGCTGTATACAAGGGAAAACTGAGGCCCAGAGAGAGGCAGGTAGGGGCCACATGTGACCTGAATGTCAGCCTTCTGCCATCCCTGCTCCACACAGCCCACCTTTCCTGTTGCTCTTTTCCCAGGACCCCAGTGCCATTTGGAGGACCCCTCATGGGGGAGACCATTCCCAGGGCAGGCACCCCTTTTGTCTCGGAGCCCTTCAGTGGCTTGGAACTCCTCCGCCTCAGACCCAGCTTCAACAGGGTGGCTCAGGGCTGGGTCCGCAACCTCCCAGAATCCGAGGAGCTGTAGTCCCAGGCTGAAGCTTCAATTCCTCAGTCTCCAGGCTCAGGTAGTATCTGAAGCCAAGACTCGTGGACAGCACTTCACAGTTTATGAAGAGCCTTCACACATAAACCATTATTGCAAATGGCCTCAAAGGTCACAAAGTTCAATAGTCCCCAAATGCAGATGTGCTTCAAAATCACCTGGGGACCTTGGTCCTAACACAGATTTCTGGCCTGCCCTAGACCTGTAGCATCAGGATTTCGTGAGTGGAGAATTTCTGTCAGTAACCAATACTCCAGGTGATTCCTGTGTGACGGGGCCACAGTTAGTGTCTTTAGGAATCCACACCCACGCAGCTTACACTCCGTTCCCTGATGGTGGTGCACTCACTAGCAGCCCATCTACCTGAGGATATCTCTGATAATTAGAAAGTTTTCCCTTTTACTGAGTTGCAGTTGGTCTTCATCTGTGCATGCTCTAAGTGTTTACTAAGTACCTACTATGTGCCAGACAGTGTTCCAGGCCCAGGCCTTCGGGAGAAAAAGATGGTGGAGAGGGCCGATTTGCGAAGGAGTAAATCACATTAGTTTTCCCTACAGCTCATTGACAATGGAGGAACCGGGTGTCGTGGAGCAGGGGAAGGGTCCCCAAACCTGGTGGTGGGGTGGGATTCCAGAAGTTTCCCAGAGGATTTGAGTGGGGTCTTGCAGAAGGAAGGCGAATTCATTAAGGAAAGAGGTGCGATGGGAGGGCTTTCCTGACAAGTGGATTGGCACGTGCAGAGGTGGGTGTGGCATTGAGCATAGATGCAGGTTGTTCTGGGGAAGAGAGAGGTTATATTAGGAGTCAGTGAAGTCCAGAAGTGGGGTTTTAAGAAATGGGGAGGTTTTAGCAATGGATTTCACTGGTTGCTGTGGGGGACACATTGAAGAGGAGCAGTGCTGAGAACCAGGGAGTCTGCAAGGGGTGAGGCCTGGATAGAGGTGTGGCCATGGAGATCCAAAGGAGAGGTTGCCCTACTGGGCACTTTACAAGAGAGGTGTGGAATGAAGTTCTTATAAGGACTCCCTTCCACCCTCCATCTGAGTAGGTCCCTTAGTTCTAGGGAGGAGGATGGTGGTGGTAGTGCTTTTTATTGAGTGTCTAGTGCTTGGGCTGGGTTCTTGACACACCTGGTTCCTAATTCTCAATATAGCCTGAGAGAAAGGTATTTTTGTTCTCAATTTACAGATGTGAATGTTCAAGCTGAAAAGAGGGAAATGTCTTAGCCGGGGGCAGAGTCAAAATGGGAACCTGTTTTACTATATTGGGTGGCCAAGCCAATGCCCATTCACTCTGGACGCACTGATCGTGGTGCCTTGCCTTGGAGCTCACAGGTTGAGTGGAGGCTGGGCCACCTGATGGGATGGGATGGGGTCTGATTCTGCCATTGCAAGCCTTGTGAACTTGGGCCAGTCATTTCACACCTGAGACTGTGTTTCTCCGTCTGTAAGATGAGTATAGAAACTCCTTCAGGGGGTGCAGGTCACAGTCATGAGGGTTCAGTCATTGTTAGGTTTCTTGCAAACACCGTTCTTGGCCAGAATCTATGGTTCTTGCAATGGGTGTAGCTTGAGAAGTCAGCTGCCAGGATGGCATTGGGGTCAGAAAAGCTGCCACCTGAAGGAAACCCTCCCATCACTGCAGGGGTCCCTTTGGATGGGAATTCCTCTTCTCTAACGCCAGGCCTGATGGGAGAGTGGTTGCATTTTCCTTTTGGTCTGGAGTTTTGTTCCTTTCCTGGATCCCAAAGGGCCAGCAGACTCTTAGGATTGTTTGCAATGGTGTGTTCTCTAGGATTTAAGGGCCATTGTTTAAAGCTAGGCTTTATGAGTGTAAGACCAAGCATCAAAGTGTCAGGCAAGTAGAAGAGGGGACATGGATTGCCTTGGGTTGTTTCTACCGTGCTCTGGAGGGTAACTACCACTGCCAGGCACAGAAGAGACTGGGGGAGACTCCTGCAGTCAAAAGTGGATCCTCATTCCCTTCCTCTGATCATGTGAATTGCTGATGTTAAAAAAAGGCTTACTGTAAAAAATAAAAGTAAAATGTGAAAGTATCTGCCCAACACAGTTGCTCTCAAGTACATTCATTCCTCTTTCCACCCTTCTGCATTCGTTTCTGTTCCTGTGTACTAGAGACAACCACTTGAAAGTTTGGTCCTTTTAGAATTATAAATTTCTGTGAATTTGTACCCATGTATAGGTATATGGCTATATCTTTGTTTTAATGGACTATTACTCTTCATTCAGCAAGTAAAATTTAGATCCTGAAAAATCAGGTAATTAACCTTTCATATAATCTGGGAAAGTAACCTTCAAATGAAACTATTTTGCCTCTTTTTGTTCTTTATATAAACGAAAAAGGGCCAAAATGAGCCCAAACACTGAGAAACCTGACATTAGACATGGCAGAGAATGAACATCAAACTACTATTACATGCAGCCACATGGATGTATCTCAGAAATATAAGGTAAGAGACGGCAAATACATGTTTATGAGTACACGGAAATGTTTAACATAAAAGAATAGTGGTAATTGGAAGGAAGGATTTACAAATGTGAACAGACTCATAAATGCCTCTGGGATAACTTGAAGTTTTCTACTTCTAGACCTGGGTGATTATCACATAAATGTTCACTTTAAAATATTTAATTTTACACCGATTTTATGCATTTTCCTGTGCTTATTTTACCAATAATGCCTTTCAAAAAAGTTAATGAACAGATTAATAGCAGATTAGACATACGTGAGGAAATAGGGAACTAAAAGTACCTACAAAGCATCACACAGATGAAAAAATGGAAAATATGAAATAGTTTAGAAGACATGGAGAATATGAAAATGCTCATAATAGCAATGTTTTCCAACATAATAGAAAATCATCTTGAAGAAGTGTGATGGTTAATCTTGGTTGTCACTTCTGAGTGTTTCTATGAGAGGGTTTCCAGAGAAGACTGAAGTGTGGGTCAGTGAACTAACTAGGGGAGACCCACCCCGAGTGTGGCGGAACATCCAATAGGCTGGGAGCCTGCGTGGAATTGAAAATGCAGAAGGGGAAACTTGTTCCCTGCTCTGATGCATGGTCATCTGTAAGTACACATTTTAGATAAAAGGGACATAGGATTAGCTTTAAGTAAGGGGGATTACATAAATTTCATTTGTTTCCTTTTTAAAAAATATTTAGTTGTAGTTGGGACACAATACCTTTTTTATTTATATGTGGTGCCAAGAATCGAACCCAGGGCCTTGCACGTGCTAGGCAAGCACTGTACCACTAAGCCACAATCCCAGCCCCTTGTTTGTTTCCTTTTAAAATGACTTGTATAAGGATGCCTTTTAAGGCTGCATTTATCAACATGTCAGGTTCTGGGCTACGTGCATTATTTTAACCTCACAACCAACTTCTGACACAAGAACTAAAAAGACCTGGTCTTTATTACCATTATGAAACGGATTTAAAGATAAAAATCAAGACAGTCTAAAACAAGATTTAAAATCTTCATATTTATGTATAAATTGTTTTTTAACTTCCACTAATTTAACTACTGAAGGACGAACAAAACAGAAATCTAGAAATAAGCCAACAATATTTGGAAAATTGACCCGTTTTAATTATTTAAAAACAATACAACACAACATCAAATTTCCCTTATCATCTACAATTCAGTTATATCCAAACATTCTAAGACCAACAGTCCTCTGCCCAGAAGCAGGGGATCACAGGGGACGCTGAAGACACATGAAGGTGAATGCTGAAGATCAGAGTTCCAGTGGTAGCTCACGAGTCTTCTGTTCAAACACACTCCAAAGTTTGCCTTTTAGTTTGTTACAGACGGAATTTTATGGGAAGTTCTTTGAAATAATTTCATTCCAGACACCAGATCTCTTCAATGATAGATCCATAAAATTTGTGTTCTGATAGGAATAAAAAGTAACTTTTACTTTTGCCCCTTTTTGGTGACACAGAGGAGTAAACTATCATTCCTTTTAAAAATGAAGAAAAGAAAAATTCTGGGCTGTGCTGGGTCCTGGTTTCTTCTTGTCTGAGCATGTGACTTCAGAAGAGTTAAATCACACTTATGCCACTACGATGATTAGTACTATTTTTTTTTTTTAGATGATAAAAAAAGAAAATACCCAATAGACATAAAAATGGTCAAAAGGTTTTTTACCGCAGGTCAATTTTTGCTGCCCCCACCCCAAAAGGTACAAAATGAACATATAATTGGGATGGTAACTCCATTGGCTATTCCAATTTACCCATCTGCTCGCCCCCATACAGGTTTAAGGGGACTAGCAGTAGGTTTTCTTAGTAATATAATCATGGTAACTAGCTGTGTTCGTGGCAGTTTATTTGAGGTCCACTGATCCTTTCAATATATGTAGGGAAGCAAGGCTATGCTTCTCCAACTGCCCACATCTGAACACATTCAGCTACCATGGAAACTACGAAGGAAGGAAAAATATATTTATTCCAAGATCCATTTACTGGGATTTTAAAGCGCCCTTTCTTCCATGGAGCCCCAGAATGCTGGCAATGTGCTAGGGGCTGCTGTGTTTTCCAGCATGTGCTCCCATCCTCTGAGGGTCTTGAGAAGGATAGTGGATTGGTCCTGGAGCTCTCATGAAAGGAGGGGGTGGTCCCATTGGGTGGAACATGTGTGGCCCAAAACCTGTACATGGGAGAGAATAAATTTGTTAGGTTTGTTGTTCCTTTGACAACCTTTCATATTTTTGAATCTTCCTAAGATCAAAACTACCTACATATAAATCAAAGCTGACATGGGCTTAAATGAATGTCACTCCATCAGACTTGCTTAGGGAATATCTACGTGTATTATTTCCTTGGTTTTAAAACGTTTCCCCTCAGTCCAGAATACTCCTCAGGACTCAAGGCTTCTGCTAGCATATCATGTGAATCTCTGCTATGTATCAAACATGCCAGATCCTACCAAACAAGATTCATTCAGGATGTGGGAAGTGAACAAGAAATCAGGCCAATGGCAAGACCCTGTCATCATTAACTTCAATGCTTGATACCAGGATGAAAGGTTATTCAGACACCACTTTAAAGATATGTGCTCTCCGCCACAGAATTGGCCACATGGGATCTGCTTACACTGTTCATACTGTCACTGACATTTTCTAGAGCAGTGCGCTATACAAAGTACTAGTTCTCTAAATTGTTTATTACTACCTTGGACAAGATAAAGATGTGGAGCCAAAATGTAACTCAATTATATGATCAAGTATGCTGCTCATGAACGATCTTTTTTTTGGAATGAGACTTTCTAATGAAAAAAGTGGCTCAATGCTTTACATCCTGGCACAAGCTAAAGACCTTACTGTAGATAGTTAATACTTTGTGAAATGACAATCAAGAGCAGCCCATACTTTGAGCAACAGTGCTACAGGGGCATCAGTTAGGATTTAGTTCAGAACAGATAACAAATTAGTGGTAGATCACTGTAATCCCAGTAATTCCTATCTTGATAACACATATATTCAGATTTTCAAAAAACTGGTGCTTTTCCTCTCCTTGGCAGGCTAGGAAAAAAATGAAATATTAGAACTCTCAACCTATCTGCATTACCAATAAACTTTTTCAGGGCAAATGCAAAGGATTTAGCTGTCTTAGACATAGTGGTGAGGTGTAGGACTTTCACAGAACTTCTCGGGGAAGGAAGAAGGAAGTTACCTGGGGGTGGGGGCGGGGCAATCCCAGGGGGTGGTGGCAGGGCAATGTTTACCACCGCGGGAGGACCACTTGGAGGGAGGTTGAAGTAGTTGGCAGAAGCTTCCTCTTCTGCTGCAGGAGGAGGAGGAAGAGCTGGAGAAGAGAAAACAGGCAACACTCAGAAAGGAAGACAATTGGCAACACTGTTTCTATCACTTTAATGTCCTCAAAAGGGCTCTCTAGAAGTAAGAGTTGCTGTAGGAGCCATACAAGCTTCTCTTCTAATAGAGGAACATTGGGCAAATAGCTTCAGTGGTTAGCACAAGTCTGCACTTACCTCCTGGAAGACCTGGAACTGGCTCCAGTTTGATCCCAGAGTCTGTGGTTCCGTCCTTCTCTTTTTCTTTTCCTCTGGCTGCCTGGGATCTGGGAGATATGCATGCACACAGGACATTAGCACCTTGTCCCACCTTCTCTCATACCTCTGCTTGTCAAGTTCCCCAGTCAAATGCAGTTCCTTCACTCCTTGCCTCTTCTTCAGCAAGCAATCTTCCCATAAATACCAAAGTGCAGAGTGGATAAGAGCGATGGTTTTGAAGGCAGAAAGATCTGGGTTCAAAACTTTCTAGAACCATTGTTTGCCAGGTTTTTGTTCTCTCGACTAAAAGGCTCAGGGGTCAATCCGGTTGAACTGGGCTAACTGGGCTGTGCAAAATAACCACACAAGAGATACAAATACATTTTTCTTTGGGGTCGCTGTGATGGTTCCTCTGACCTTAAGGGTCCGCAGGAAGACAGAGCGAGAGCATGTGCTGACCCCTTTTATTGAGGAAAATCTATTCAAATGAGGCAAGGGGTCAGATTTCAGGGGGCTGAGTCTATCTTCATGATGTTCACTGTCAGCAGGTTGACTGACATCTGGGTAGACCACACCCAGGGGCATAGTAAGAGAAGGGGACACACACAAGGCACTTCCATGGAAGATTCCACCCTATAAACAGGGCAAGGGGTTATATTACAAAGGAACAGGTAAGCATAGCTTCACCCACGGGGCTGTAGGAAGACATAGTCACTCGAACCCTAGAAGAGCAGGGCAGTCTAGCAGCATGGGTGCCTGACGCCACATCGCTCAGCAGGGGAGTTAACTCAGTCACATATGAGGTTGGTCTCCCACAACATATATGTTTGGCAAAGTGCTTAGCACATATGCAGAGCTGTTGCTATTAGTCACCTCCTCCTTGGTTCCAAGCTGGAAGTAAGTTCTCCCTCTGAACTTAAAATTCAGAGTGTTTTATCTGTATCTCTTACACAATTACTGTGTCTTTCTTATGTAACCATCACTTTCAAACTTAAAATAGATATTCTTCTGTTTTATCTTCTCCCCCAGTTTCTGAAGTAGAATCTAGGTCTTTAGATTCTATAAACCCTTGAATCTATCTATCTTTTATGCTAGGCAATATAATTGGTCTATGATAGGTGGTTAAAAAAACATGAACTGTCACAGAGGCAGATTACTAACAGCAAAACCCTGAATACATTTCCAAAGCAGAACTCTTCCAACACCTGAGAATGACCTTCTTAAGATCTTTCTAAATATCCTGTTGATTAAAGCCTATTTACCAAAAGCTTTCTACTTTCCAAATAATGAAACAATTTATTAAAAGATTCAATATAGCCAAGTGCGGTGGTGCATGCCTGTAATCCCAGTGACTCTGGAGGCTGAGGCAGGAGGATCACAAGTAGTTCAAAGCCAGCCTCAGCAACTTAGCGAGACCCTAAGCAATTGAGCAAGGCCCTACAACTCAATGAAACCCTATCTCTAAATAAAATGTAAAATGGGCTGAGGCTGGGGATGTGGCTCAGTGGTTAAGCACGGGGGTTCAATTCTCCGTACCAAAAGAAAAAAAGTCTCAATATATAGTCCATTCTTACCTTCCCCATTTCACATTGAGTCTGCGTCCATTGACAATCAACTTATTAAAGGACTTCTCAGCAGCCACTTCTGCAGCCTGCCTTGTGGCAAACTGGATGAAAGCACACTGCTGTCTCTGTACAACCGTGATTGTTCGAATCTCTCCGAACTGGTAGAAATGATTTCTGAAGGGACACAGGCAGAAAGAGAAAGGTCAACAAAGCAGACGTGCCCACTAGATTGATAATGGATATGAAATCTTTCTCTGACTCACCACTAGGCAGGTGGGCCCCATGATTATGTACCTAACTACTTGCAGCTGTTTCCCCTCCATATCTTGCCCTTCTGTAATTGCGGCTTACTAAGATGGGGGGAAAAAGAATAAGCAGGGTTCTCAAACATCTCAGTGTTGTTCCCATGGAAGAAAGGGGGCTCTAATAGGTTCCTTAAGGACCCTAAGCCCTACATACAATGTTGGCAAAGTACAGTGCTCATGGCCCATGAGCCAAGAATGTTTTTTTTTTTTTTTTTCTTTTCAGAAAGTTGAAAGGGAAAATAGAAGAGAGAAAGACTGTATGAGGCCCACAAAGTCTAAAAATATTCACTCTCTAGCCTTTCATAGAAAGTCTGCCAACCCCTGGGGATTATCTAGTTCACTAAGATAGGGTTTAATGGAGACAGGCTATCAAGGGCAGGTTATAAACTTACAGGAGTTTCTTCTCCACTTTATCTCTTTGGAAGAGGTAATTTCCATTACTATCTGCCCAGATGTCTCATCTACCCAAGCATAATACAAGCCAAAAATAACACAAATTTATGAAATACCAGTCTCTCTTAAAAAAGCCAACAATTTAAACCATAAGAGTTTTAGAATCACAAAGCTCTCCCTCCCCTATGTAACTGATCATACTTGGAAGTGTGCCATTCTTTAAAAATTCTAATCAGCTATTAGGTTCCATGTAATTATTATCATATACAAGGATAGATAAGCACTCCTGATGAACATTACAAATTCCTCTGGCTTCATAAAAGATAATTTTATAAAAATTTGAGTCAGCATGATACTAACTACAGAACAGTTAAAAAAAAAAAGTACTTTATATAGATGATCATTCTTGTGTTTTTGCAGATAAATAATTCCAAGGCAGTTAAAAGCAAAATAGTTCTTAAAATTATACCCACAAACCTGAGATCTGTCTCAGTAATAGTATCGCCCAGACCACCAACGTATAGTGTGGTGATAGTTTTATCCTCCGGTGGGTCCAGACGAGGCATTGTTGAAGCCCGCTTGAGAAGCTTATCTGCTACAGGGTCATTGATTCCATAATACCGATCTTTAATATTCTGATCAGCAAGAGGGTCATCTGGATCTGTAGGCTTCTCATGTCTATGAGAAAAAAATAATGCATATAAAGGTGAAAAAATGCAGATATCACCCAATAGTAACTACATAGTAAAGTCCTATGCCTTTTGAACTAGAAACCAGGGCCATACCAAAATATAATTATCAAACAGCGCTGATACCAAGGGTTTTAGTCTATCAGTCTTTCCCAGCCTCCTAAAATCCATTTTAATGGTCATTTAGGGTGTGAGACTTTCCTTATAAATACTCTTGGCACAATTCATCCCAAAATAAAAAGGGCAAGTGATCACCCCTTTCTATGTCAATGGTTCTTAACATATTTGAGGTCTTGCATCTACTGAGAATCTGAAGAAAGCTAGGGACCTAGCCCCAGAAAAATGGCTTGCTTAATTTTTAGGGGAGTGGAGTTAATCAAACTCAAGTTAAGAACTCCTAATCCAGATGCTTGGTGGTCTTAACTGGAATATACACACCCTTTTGAAGTTTGGCTCATTTTGACTTCCACTCTACATTGAGATTTAGGCCATTATATGATGACAGTGAGGATTCCCTTCTTATGCAGAAACTTTCAGGGTTAGAATCTACTTTACACTGCATAGCAATGTAGTTTCTCAAGTTTCAGTCATAAGTCAAACCCACAATTTAATCAAGCTCTTCTAAATTTAGTAAGTTCTATGAGACAGAGTACACTAGCTTCATGAGCTTTAAATTTTAAAGTACAAACTCATTATGCAAAAGCAAATACTGAAAGTTTGTCTCAGCTCTTGCCTGTATGGACACTCTTCTCCTCTTTTACACTCTCCTTTTACCCAGAAGGAGCAAATGTGGGGCCGATTCCTTTTGTAGTAGGGTGTAGTCCGGGCCAATTTGAGCAGCATGTCACTAGTGGATGTGGCTTTCCCAAGCATGCCAACTGGCCGTGTTCCATCAGAATTAGAAATCTATATGGGTATGACAAATTTGTAGACTGTCAATTTATTAGTATTTTAATCAAATACAGAAGTACATAAGTCAAGAAGGTCTAGGCTCAATCTCCAGCACTAGAAAAACAAACAAACACCACCACCCCCGAAAAATATATCATGAAAGTGCCAGCATACTTCTCTTTCCATGTTTTGTGTGTAGTACTCTTTGTTGACATCTGACTTTGGCATGTCATCTTTAAAAGACAATCCTGCATCACGAACCTGGATGGGCAGGCCTGGTACAAAGGAATAGAGAAGAAAACCTCAAATACATTTAAAAACATGTCCATATTAAATAAACAGAATAAAAATTCTTCCTTTCTCTTGGTCCTACTTGGTATCAGACACTTTATATATATATATATATTTTTAAAAGGGGGGGGGGGAGAGAGAGAGAGAGAATTTTTTAATATTTATTTTTCAGTTTTCGGTGGACACACCTTTTATTTTTATGTGGTGCTGAGGATCGAACCCAGCGCCCCGCGCATGCCAGGCAAGCGGGTTACCGCTTGAGCCACATCCCCAGCCCACTTTACTATATTTTTATTTAAATTCTTCAGCATCACCAGACTGATACCACTACATGGCATTCTAAAGAACTGTCTAAATTCCTAAGCTGCCATAAAATTTGATGGAATGAATATTTTAAAAAATCTTTTTGTTTTGTTATCAGGGATTGAACCCAAGGATGCTTAACCACTGAGCCACATCCCCAGCTCTTTTTATGTAGAAGTAGACCACAATAGACATTCCAAAGTGGGATCAGAACCAGGTTTCGCTAAGTTGCTTAGGACCTCACTAACTTGTTGAGGCTGGCTTCTAATTCATGATCTTCCTGCCTCAGCCTCTGGGGTCGCTGGGAATACAGGCATGTGCCATCGCACCCAGCATTAGAAAATCTTTTTTTTATTTTTTATAGTAGACGGACACAATACCTTTATTTTATTTTTATGTGGTACTTAGGATTGAATCCAGTGCCTCACACATGATAAGCAACTGAGCTACAAACCCAGCCCTAGAAAATCTTTTTTTTTCTTTTTTTTTTAATTTTTATTGTTGGTTGTTTAAAACATTACATAGTTCTTGATATATCATATTTCACACTTTGATTCAAGTGGGTTATGAACTCCCATTTTTACCCCATATACAGATTGCAGAATCACATCAGTTACACATTCATTGATTTACATATTGCCATACTAGTGTCTGTTGTATTCTGCTGCCTTTCCTATCCTCTACTATCCCCCCTCCCCTCCCCCCTAGAAAATCTTTTAAATAAACTTGGGTTATAGTCATATTTGACCTGAAAATTAATAATGTATCTAAACTTTATTAACACAACTTATTTAAAATAAACGTAAAATTTATCTTAAAGAAATTTATTTCAAGGCTGATCCTACAGATAGTCACAGACACACAAGGGTGATTGTACTTCAGGACCAGAATTCTCATTAATAAACATATAAATACTATTAAACAATATGTGGCTAGGAGTCTGATTACCAGAGTCCTTTCTGAACTTAACATATATTAATACACATTTTCCTTTCCCCTCTTATTTAACTATATAGAATTCTTGTTGGCAAATTTCTTTTCTTAAAAAGTCACCTACAGTTTAAAAGAAAAAAATAATTCCCAAAGTAGCTGTTATAAAACAGTAATAATATAATATTTTGGTTCTAACAACCCAGCTGAGATAAAAGTTTAAAGCATAATTAGCCTTTGTGCGTCTGATTGGGATTGTGGGAAAAAAGCTCTGGCTGAAGAAAAAAGCCCAAGGCCAAGAATTTCCTATTACAGGATCAATGTCTTTTACCTCACCTTGGCTACAGAGATGGAGGTATAGGTCAGTTCTGTTTACTTCTCAACTGTTCCTTAAGATCCTACTATATTGTTCAGGACTCTAGAGTGGATTAATTATGATTCTACTCCTGGGAGAAGTAGACCACAACAGACATTCCAAAGTAGGATCAGAGCCAGAGGTAGGGAGAGAAGTGAGAGACAAGTTTGTTGTTTAGGGAACATTTACACTTACAGACCTATTGGACATGGCAAACATACCATACTCTAGGTCTAAGAGGCAGGTCTGACAGACATTCTTCAATTTACTGCAAGTTTGGCACACTTCAGTCTTCTTGAAGCGCATGCGGACTCCAGGACACCAGCGAAACACTGTGAATGGCCTGGCACAGATCTGAACACAAACAAGAGCCACAGAGTGTTATGGGTCCTGATCTGGATAATCAACCCAGCAGATTTAATAACAACGGGGAATTCAAGAAAGGATTCTTGAATCTAGGGTTTAGAAGAGACCTTAGCAATCACCCGTTTAAATACCAACTGTTTCAATACAATTTACAGCACACTTTGCCAATAGTTAAAATATTTAAATAGTTAAAAGTCCTCCCACCACAGAGATGAGCAACATTAATAATTTGACTCTGCCCGGGGATGTGGCTCAGAGGTAGAGTATTTGCCTAGCAAGAGCAAGGCCCTGGGTACAATCTCCAGTACCACAAAACAACAAAGACAAATAATCCTTCAATCTTTCTGAGGGAGGAGGAAGTGGGGAATATCACATAATCATTTGAGAATCTTATGTCAGCTATGACTTTCCTTCTCAGCTAAAATGCTCACATGCACAATCATAACAACACTTATTATACAAACTTCCGATGTTCAATGCCTATTCACCATCACTAGGTCAAGAATCAATACATTACAAGGTCATTTTTCTTATCTCCCACACTAAATAGTTACAAGTCAGTGATACATCGGTGACATATGAAAGTTATAGAGTACTGACTTTAATGCTTAGTATGTAAAGGCTAGTTTTGTAGACAAAAAGAAGAAAAAAATATCATTATTTCTTAACAGACATACTTACTTTGCATTCTTTCCCATACTTTTCTTTGGTCTGAAATAGAAAAAGAAAGAAAGAAAAGAACTAGTTACAGGAAGAATGTCTACGCTTATCCTATAGACAACCCAAGAAATGTGTCTGGAGATCTCTGGCATCCTAAAGGGGGGGAAAACCAAAACCAAACTAAATAGGAGAGTTTAGTTAGAATATTTCCCCCCCAAAGAGAGAGTAGGATAGAGGAAATATTCAAACAGCATACTCTGAGTTATTCTCTCTCAAGAGTCTATGAATCTAATACCAGGCAAATGTCTTTGCACAGCCATAACTCCTAGGTTCATTCTGGCTCCCAAGAACTAAATTCCTAATGATTTCCACAGTTCTTAAAACAGGATACAGCTATGGCTGGTCCCTTTCACAAAGTATGGTAAGAAGATAACTACTCTAGCCTATGCAGATACCTTAAGTTATTCATACAACATATACTAATCACAATAATGGAGTTCTAACTTAATTACTATTGCTCTTTTACCCTTGTCTTTTTAAGAATAGTGTCTCTTATACTAAAGACTACTAAGTACAGTGGCTGAATTGCATATGACTTAGGAGTCAGGAATCTAATCCTGGTTCTCCTCCTAATTGCTGAGGTCTCTGAAGTCAGAATATCTGAATTTAAATCCTAGTTCCACTCCTTACTTCCATATGAGAAAACATAAGCTCTCTAGGTCTCTGGAATAGACGTATTTCCTAGCTAAATGCTCAACAAATATTAGTCGTTATGATTCCTACATTACAGGATCACTGCTAAATTCCTAAGTGAGAGAGTAAAAATGACAGTCCTTTGCAAATCATCCAGCACTCTGAGTTAGTAAAAGAGCATCATTTCTTCTGATGGAAAGGGAAACACTTTCCAGAGAATGTCAGCAATAACTCCCGTTCACACGCGAAATCACTCACCATTCGGATATATGGGTTTTCTCCAAGACAAGTCTGGCATAGAATGGGGAAATCCTGGTGAAAATGAGAATATGGATGAGGATCAAGCTCCAAAGATCCTGCCACCCCAGTCCCACTCGTGGGGGCGGGGGAGGGCGGGGAGAGAGAGCCGGGAGGAAAAGGCAGGAGGAACCCCAGGTCCAGCACGGGCCGGGTCGCGGGAGGGGGCGCTGTCTGCACTTCCGGCAGGCGGCGGGAGAAAAGAAAATCAGCTGGAAAAGGTTGGAGGGGGCAGGGATGGAAAGGCGGCTGTCCTGGGACCCTGGCTAAGTCCCCTCCCTCCAAGCCGCAGGAGGGCCACGCTCCAGCCTCCTGCTCCCGCCGAGTTAGGCCGCAGCATCGGGTCCTCCCTGGAGCTCCCTCGGTCGCGCCGCAGCCTCAGTCAGCCCTCCCGCTTGAGGCTGGGCTTCGCCGCCTCCTGCCGTTCTCCTCCGGCGGGTACACTCACCGCATCCTCCCAGTTCTGCCTGTTGTAGGTGTTGGAACCCAGCGAGGTCGCCATCTTGAGAGCGTCCGGGGTGCAGGGGTAGCTTCCGAGTTGGGAGAGGACCGCCACAATCCCGTCAGGCCCGGGGCTGGCGCCCCGCTGTCGACGTATTATTTACGCGCCTAGTGCCGCCCTCGGGGCGGGGCCTTGTGCGTCGTGACGTTACCTCTCTTGGAACGTTAGCTTAATAGTTGGGGTTTTTGTGTCCTCGCTCCGACGCTTCCTTCGCGTTGGTGTCTACTTGGGGTAAAGCCACGCGCACAGGTCCCAGAGTGAAGGAGCAGATGCTGAATGAGGGGCTGGGGCTGGGGTTCAAACAGGGCTGGCCACCACTGGGCGCTAATCATGACAAACGCTGGGGGAACGTCTAGCGGTGCCAGTCTCGTTTAATTCTCAGAATAACCTCTCTGTATCGTCGCCAGTGTTAGCAGACAAATAGAGAACGTCTGGTGAAGTCGAATTTGAGATAAACAAGGAATCGTTTTTTTCAACATAAATACGTTTGATACATATTTTATACTAAAGTTGGTGTCATTTTTTTTTTAATCTAAAAATCACATTTAACTAGGTGTCCTGTAGTATGTTGATTCCTCTTTTATAGATAAGGAAACAGATTTCGGAAGATTAAGTAACCGGCCCTTGCTTGTGGAGCTAAAATGGCGAAACACAACAGCAAAGGCATTAATACTATTTTTTTTTTCTGAATTCTGACACAAGAAAGGTCTTGAGATATATATATATAAAATTTTTTCTTGGAGCTAGTACCGGGGATTGAACTCTGGCGCTCAACCACTCATCCATCCACATCCACAGCCCTTTTTCGTATTTTATTTAGAGACAGTCTCCCTGAGTTGCTTAGTGCCTCCATGAGACTAAGGCTAGCTTTGAACTTGTGATCCTCCCATCTTAGCCTCCGGTGCCGCCACCGTGCTGGGCTTATACATTATTTTTTCAATTTTGGAATGACTCAACAGTTCTGCCAATAGTTTTATGATCTTCAAGCCATTCTAGTGTCACTTTTATTAAACAACCTTTATAACTTTTAAAAATCAAGTTTATTTGAAGTATAATTTATATTTGGTAAGTTTTTATCTTTTTAGTTGTACAGTTATGAATTTTTGCATACATTCACCACAAATACAGAATAGTTCCATCATCTCCAAGGAGCTCCTTGGTGCCAGTAGAAGATTCACTTACTCTTACACTCAGCTCACAGCAACCATCCTATGCCTGTGTTCCTGGTTTTACGTAGGATTATGTCCTGATAGATCCGTTATTTGGAATTTGGTCATCAGTTCAGGAACTGAGCTGGTTTTTGTTTCTTTTTCCTTCCTTCCTTCCTTCCTTCCTTCCTTCCTTCCTTCCTTCCTCCCTCCCTCCCTCCCTCCCTTCCTTCCTTCCTTTCTTCTTTCTTTTTCTTTTTTTTTGGTACTGGGGATTGAACCCAGGAGCACTTTATCACTGACCTACATCTCCAGTCCTTTTTATTTAGAGACACGGTTTTGCTAAAGTTTCTGAAATTGACCTCCAATTTGAGATCCTCATGCTTTAGCCTCTCAGTGCCTGGGATTACAGTGAGTTTGGGTTTTGTTGTTGTGGTTGCTTTTAGTGTCATAGATTTTACATCCTCTAGCATTTTTTTTTGCTTTAGGCTGGGGCCGGAGAAGTTTTCTGAAAGTTCATCCTTGAGCATATAGCTATTCTGCATAGCTGCTCAGTAGAGGTATGTTTCCTTCTGTGCCTTTGCCCATCCCCCAAGCACTGATGCTTGTTACTAGCTGCTGACTAGGCTATTAGTGAAGGAGGGATAAAGGGGTTCTCTGTTGCTCTAATTCAGTGCAGCTTAAGTCTTTAGGCCTTGTGTGTCTGGGCTTTAGGAATGGTTTCTTACTCAGTATTCTTTCCCCTCTTCCCTCTAGCAGTTAAACTCTGTGCCTGGTATGGTAGGGGAGAGTTTCTGTCCTTTCCACAGAACTTTAAGGGCTGTCTGTCCCTCTAGAGATAAAATGCATAATCCTTGTTTTACCACAAAGGTGTCTTCTTTGTGAGATTGCCCCATTCTTTCTTCAATATATATGTACTTTCCTAAATAAACCTCTGTCTATGCCTCTGGGTTGGGCAGGACCCTTTAATGGCATTGATAATCTGGGAAGATAGGATATTCTGTTCCTCTGTCAGTGGCTTAGGCCTTTCACTCATTATGAGGGAAGGGCCCAGGCAGGGAGGAAAAGTTTTACAACCTTTCTCACACGCAACCCTCCTACATCCCTCCTAACCAAGCAAGACTCTCTAGAGCTCCTACCTTTCCCATTTTTCTCATGAACACCTGGTGGAGGTTTTAGAAAGAGCTTGTGAGTGCTCACAAACTAGCTCCCTTCTTGTCTTGCACTCCCAGAATGTTATGCTGTTGTGTAGCTTGTATTTGACCTTTAGCAACTCTTTTAACTTTTCAGTTTATTTCCTCTTACCTGCTTGTATGTTGGCTAACACGTCTCCCACATCTGCCATAGGTGAAGCAGTCTACATGTTCTCTCTCTCCTTTGGGGGCTCTGTCTCTCCTTGGAATTGAGGCCATTCGGTTGCTGTGTCACATGAGCTCTCCAATAGATCCAAGAACAGTAATGATTTTGTCGTCTATTCACTCTTTGGTTTTGAGTGGGGGTAGGATTCTTTACAGATGTCTACATGATAGTCAGAAGTTCTGTAGAACTCTGGAGTCAACCAATTTTTATTTAAATTTATTTTAAGAGGAATATTTCTATCACTTCTGCAAATGGAAAGTTAGTATCACATGCTTATATGTGGCCTTAAAAACAAGTACAATGACAGTGAAACAGTGTTATTTAGCAAGTGCTATTGTTGACTTTGAAAGCCTCCATCCAGAAGTCTGATAAAAACAACAACAAAAAACAAAACAACAACAAAACAAACAAACAAAAAACCCAGGAAACAAGGATGTATCAGCTGTTACAAACATAATAGTATGGACATTTTATTCTTGGATGTTATAAACATCATTAGTGCTGATATTTTTTTCCTTTGACTTAACCACAAAGGGGATGGGAGCATGAGAACAAGAAGGAAAAAAACTCTTCCACCATTTGATTTCCATATTATTTAATGTTACTTTAATTTAACACTTTAAGTTGTTGCTTTGTGTAGGAATTGAATACTGTGAAATATACTTTACTATATTATTAATGTCCTGACTACCAGAAAATGTGACACTCAATGATAGGAATAAGTCTTGAGAAATGCATTGCTGTGTAGTTTGGTTATTGTGTGAATATCATAGAGTGTACCTTACACAAACTAAGATGGCTATAATCTCATTAGATGATATAATCTTAGGGGACCACTGTCACATATATGGTTCATTGTTAACTGAAAATGTCATGTGGCATATGACTGAATTGCCATTCAACAAGCAACTTAGCTTGAGTTTTGGAGTTTGCTGTACACTGCCCTTTGAATCGAGTGTGTGGGAGAAACAGATGGCAAAGGGACCTGGATTTGGCTCCTAGGGAATCTACTGTCCAATAAATGAGCTAGGCTCATATGAAACTCTACAATGAAAGGAAGAAAGAGGTACTTGCCTTGGAGAAGTACAGTGTTGTGAATTAAGACCATATTTAGGCCAGGGGTGGTGGTACACAAGTGTAATCCCAATGACTCCAGAGGCTGAGGCAGGAGTATGACAAGTTTGAAGCCCACCTTAGCAACTTAGACTGTCTAAATGAATGAATGAATGAATAGGGGAGGGGTAAAGCTCAGTGGTAAAGCACACTTGGGCTCAATTCCCAGAACCAAAAACAAACAAAAAACTCTCACATTTAGGTGAGAGCAGAGAAGTAATCCTAACAGTTCAGAGAGCAGGAAGAGAATCCTAGGTATAAAAAACACTAGAACAGCCGAGCACAGTGGTGCACGACTGTAATCCCAGCAGCTTGGGAGGCTGAGGCAGGAGGATCATGAGTTCAAAGCCAACCTCAGCAAAAGCAAGGTGCTAAGCAACTCAATGAGACCCTGTCTCTAAATAAAATACAAAAAAATAGGGCTGGGGGTGTGGCTCAGTGGTCGAGTGCCCCGAGTTCAGTCCTTGGTACCAAAATAAAAATAAAAACAAAAATATCAGAACAAGAAAGCATAAAGTAAGAAGCCCTTTGGCTTTTTTTTTGGTACCAGGGACTGAACCCAGAGGTGCTTAACCACTGAGACACATCCCCAGCCCTTTTTAATATTTTATTTACAGACAGGGTCTCGCTGAGTTGCTTAGGACTTCACTAAGTTGCTGAGGCTGGCTTTGAACTCTCTATCCTCCTGCCTCAGCCTCCTGAGCTGCTGGCATTATAGGTGTCACCACTGTGCCAGGTCCCCTTTGGCTTCTGACAAAGTCTCTCTCCCCCTCCTCCCTGTATATATACACATATTCAACACATACACATATTTGTGTATATATATTTTAAATGATAAAAGATCAATATTCACTAAAAAAAAAACAAAAAAAACACCAACAACCAAGTTATCAAGTCATGAAAACACATGGAAAAGCCTTTAATGTATATTACTAAGTGAAAGAAGCCAGTCTAGCAAGACTGCATACTGTGATTTCAACTATAACATTCTGGAAAAGGCAAAAATTATGGAGACAGTAAAAAGATTTATGGTTGGGGTGTGAGAGGGATAAACGGGCAGAGCACAGAGGATGGTACTGTAATAGTGGGTACCTATCGCATATCTTTGCCTAAATGCATAAAATGTACAACATGAATGAATTCGTGAACTATGGGCTCCGGGTGATAATGATATGTCAATGTAGGCTTATTAGGGTTTTTGTTATTGGTGTATTATAATCATATATAATAGTGGAATTCATTGTGATTTTTATATATGCACGATGTAATTGGTCAGTTTCATTCCCCACTCTTCCTTCCTCCCCTTGGCTTACCTTTTTTCACTCCCATTTTCATGAGATCCCCCTCCTCCATTTTTTTCTCTAGCTTTCACATTCGAGAGAAAATATTTGACCCTTGGCTTTTGAGTCTGGCTTATTTTGTTTAACATAATGCTCTCAAGTTCCATCAATTTT